CCCCTCCCTCGCCATGAGCTCCTTGGATGTGCAGCCAGGATGGAAATGTTCCGACTGCCGGCTTTAAAAATAAAGCGCTGGGGACGTCATTGTGTCCCCAAAGGCTGGCTTCTGCCTGTGTCACTCTCAGATGGTAGAAGTGGCAACTGTGGGTTTTGGGAGGGATGGTGACCCAGACGATGGTGGCTCTGACAGGTACCGCGGTACCAGGACTGGGACTGTTCCATCGGCTGTTGGGTGCTGCGATGGTTGCCTCGTGACTTGCACGTTGGGGTGACTGGAAGGCCAGTTGCTCTGCACGTGTGATTAATAAAGACATGGTGCATGACCCCAGGAATTAGCATTTGGCACAGAGCAGGTTTGGAGGGGCGAGAGGGAAAGAACAAGCCACAGAAAACAAATGTCTCGCCTGAAACCCTGCGGGCTGTGACGGAGGAGACTCGGCTGCTGGCGCTGCACCCTGTGCTGGGACTCCTCTGCTCTCTGCCCAGCACCGCTGCGGGTTTTGCCGGCCCCGTCTGCACACAGATGTTTCGTGCAGCACCGTCCTGAGAATAACTCCCTTGTGTGTGAAGGAGCCCTCTGCTCCGCTGGACTAGGAACAGCAGCAGCATCTCCCAGCCCCATAAATTCATCTGCCAGTAGCACAGATCTGCGTCTGTGCTGCTGGGTGGTCTCTGCTCCGGCGGGAGACGGGGACCTGGAAGCAGATTTCTGTGCTGTGGGCGAGGTGAGCTTTCCTCCCAGGATGTAATCCCAACAAAATGTCCTGGGCTGGCGCTTCCCAAGAGGAGGCCGTTGGCTGCTGCCAGCAGAGCCGGAGCCACAGCTGCCCCGCAGACCTGGGGCGTAGCTGGGCCAAAACCAAACAAAGGGTGTCTGCTCTTGGGGTCGTGCCTGAGGGGCTGGGGAGGGGGTGGCGTATGTGAGAGCTGTGTGGGTTCGTGACCACCGGTGCCTCTGGGGCAGGGCGGGAGGTGGGGTGGTCCCCAGCACCAAGGGGGAACCTGTGCTGAGCTGGGCCCTGACCCCCCTGAACTTGCACTGAGCTGGGCCCTGAGCCCCCTGCCTGG